ACTGGAAGTTCTAGCCAGAAAATAAACAAAAGACATCCAAACTGGAATGGAAAAAGTCAAACTGTACTTGTATATGACATGAGCTAATAGTAGCAAGTACTAAGGGATCCACTAGAAACTACTGGAGCAAATAAATTCAACAAAGTTGCATGGTACAACATCAACACACAAAAACGAGTTGTATTTCTATACACTAGGACTGAACAATCTGAAAATAAAATCAAGACCAAAATTCCACTTACATTGGAATGAATTTAAACTAGGAGGTACAAAAACTAGGATTGTGCAGTAAAAATCATTAATTACTGATGAAAGAAATTAAAGATATAAAAAGCATTCCATGTTCATAGGTGGGAAGGGTTAACTCATATGGCATCAAGCGATACCAGATAGGTACAACAATACTGAAAAACGAAATTGGAAAACTCACAATTTCTGATTTTAAAACTTACAAGGCTTTAGTAATCAAAGCTGTGCTGTATTGGCAATAAAGACAGACGTATGCACCACTGGACAGAATCATAAAGTCCAGTAACAAACTCACTTACCCATGGCCATCTGACTTTTGACAAGGATGTCATGACTATTCAACGGGGAAACAATGCTCCCTTAACCTTAACCAGTGAGATAGGGATTAATAACTAACTAAATGCAAACTGATGAGTGTGGACCCTTTTCTGATACCATAAACAAAAAATTAATCAAGATGAGTCAAATGTAAGAGTTAAAGCTATACAAACTTTAGAAGAAATGGGAAAAAATCTTCATGACCTTAGATTTGGAAATGTATTCTTAGACATAACATCAAAAGCATAAGCAGTAAAAGAAAAAAAAATGGATAAATGGGATTTCATCTGTTGAGAGCTTTTGTGCATCAATGAATCCTGTAGTACCCAGAACATATAAAGAACTCTTACAATTCAACATCCTATTTAAAAAATGGCTAAAGGACTTCTCCAGTGAAACTGTATGAATGGCAAACAAGCATCTAAAAATTTGCTCAGCATCAAGTCATCACAGAGATGGAAATTAAAATGCAGCCAGATACTTCTTCAAAGTCAGGAGGATGGCTACAAATAAAACTGAGTATCACAATTAGCAATGATCTAGAGAAACTGCAGCTCTCCAACACTGCTGTTGGGAATTAAAGTTTGCAATAGTTGTGGAAAATGAACTGGGTCCAGATTCCCAAATAGTTTAACACAGAATTACTACATAATCTGACAATTCTTCCGGGTATACACTCAAGATGAACCAAAAACATATCTATACAACTGGGACATGAATCTTTACCACAGTATACTCATACAAGCCCGAAGAGGGTAAAAACCCAAGTATCAACCAAGTGATTATAAAGAAAATGTGTGTATATATTCAGCCTTGGGAAGAAAGAAGATCCTGACACAATACAGTATGGATTAACCCTGAAAACATACTAAATAAAAAAAACCAAACACAAAGCTCACGTACTGTATGATTCCATTCATATGAAATGTTTCCAGTAGGCAAACCCACAGCAGAGTAAGCAGATTACTTGTTGCCAGGGCATGAGGAAAGGGAGAATTAGGACTGACTGAGAGTAATGGATACCCACAGGCTTCCTCAAGGAGAGGTAGAAATGGTTAGGAATTAGGCAGACGGTAGTATAACATTGTGAATACACAGATATCACTGTTCTACATGTTAGAATGGGTAAATCAGTAATAACATACACATACTACTTATCACTTTAACCATTTTTAGGGTATGGTTTAGTGGTATTAATTGACATACTATGCAGACTACTACCACCAACTCCCAGAACTTTCTTATACTACAAAACAAGACTGCGCCCACCAACTAATTTCCCACTGCTCCCATTCCCAGGCCCAGGCCACCACCGTGCTGCAACATTCTGTGACTGACTTCTCCAGGTACCCCGTGAGTGACATTATGGTGCTAGACATTTTGTAACCATTTCATTTCACTTAGCACAATGTCTTCATCGTTCATCCAGTGTACCATGAGCTAAAATTTCCATATTTTAAAGGCTGAACAATACTCTATTGTAAGTAATACCTAACATTTTATCTGTTCATTGGTCCTTTGGCATCTGAGTATTTTTTTCCTCGTACAAATAATGCTTCTGTAGACATGGGTGTACATGCATCTGTTCTCAACCCTGCTTTATAAAACAGTGTTATCTGTTTTGATGGGAGATTTTAAATGAACTTTCAGAGGCTTTTTTCCCCTAAAGATACATATTATCTTTTACATTAGCTAAAAACTCAATTTGGGTGAAAGTTACCTAGAAAGAACCCAAAAGAGTAATCACAATTTGTTGAAAAAAAAAAATCACAAAAGACATAAATATATCCATTGCAAATTTATTATGCATTAGGAAGCTTAACCTAAAAACCAACAGCATAGTAAAAAGATATGTTATCTCTGTTCATGACTAAACAGGTTTCAAAATATATTTTCTTTTAAATGTATTCAGTCAGTACATAATCCTTTATAAAAGTTGTATATAGTTTTTCTGTCAATAGCTTCATTACATTTATAAATACAAGATTTACACAGCACCCCAGCAAAAAAATTAAAACCCTTACAAATATCTACATATATTTCATACCTATAAAACTTTCAAAGGAGTGCTTTGTTAAAGGAAGGCCCTAGTTAATGGTCCATTTAACTGTGCAGCAAAATACATATAAATCTGTAAAGTTGTCTTTGTCCATAAAACATCTCAAAAAATTAGCAAGACACTTATTGTGAAACTGGACTTCACTAAACCCTCATATTTATAAAGGAATTAAATGTGCGTATCCCATGAGATTCAGAAGTCTGATAAAGAGATTGAGATAAAGATTAATGGAAAACAAATGCATACTACATAGCAGTTAAGGCAGGTGTGTGACGGATGAGAAAAGCCAAGGGGGAGGAGATGGGCGATGTGGGAAGGAGCAAACAGGAATCAAGTATTACTATGAGGGGACTGAGACATAAACTCCACTGGTGTCCAGCATCTAACTCTCAGTCTCCCAAGAACGTCCAAATTATTAAAAACTTTCTTAGAAGCTTAGTCTTCCAATTTCTTTGTTGCTACTAGAATTGTTTTTGAGACAGGGGGGTCTTGCTGTGTTGCCCAGGCTGGTCTTGAACTCATACTACTCCTGCCTCTGCCTCCCAAGTAGCTGGGATTACAGCTATGCACTACCACATCCAGCTAGATGAGGTTTAGCTTTGCTCTGTAAAATCACTACAGATCTGACCAGGATGCTAAGCCCACTAACCTGATTTGCTACTTAGACAGGATTTGAGTTTGTAAGAAAGTTTCCTTCATCTGCTAAAGGTGATCACTAATCAGTATTGTTACTGTTTATTCTAGACAAGCATAAGAAGTTGAAGAAAAACAAAGGGAGAGTAAAACCGTAGCTTTTTTGTTTGACCTTTGGATAAAGGTAACAGACTCCTGATACTGAATGTTAATTTAAGAGTCCACTCATCGATACCTGTGGCAGGCCAAAGGGTATCATCCAGAGGAGGGAGGGAGGGAGGAAGAAAGGAAGGAATCTTCACCTGAAATCTTGCCCAAGATGGCACTTTCACAACAACCCCGCACCTTCTGGTGGAAAGACTGCTGCCTTTCTTACTCCAGTTATGAAAGGAAAGCCTTTTTAATTTCTGAGACAAGGTCTTACTGTGCAGTCCGGGCTGGGATGAACTTGGTCACAGTCCAGGTCAGCCTTGAACTCATGATCCTCTGCCTCAGGCTTCAATGTTGGTATGACAGGCGTGAACCACCTTGCCCAGCAGAAAGACATTTTTTTCTGAAGGATATGACTTTTCCTATTTAAGTTTCAAAGTTTGGACTCCAGATAACCTTGAGACTTGAATACTATTTATGGAGAAGTATTTCAAACCTTCCTTTGTCCTAATATACAACAGAAAAAGAATGGAAAAGAACAGGAGGGAGAGATGGTGGGTGGAAGGATGAAGGAATTGCTTCAGAACCTGGCCCAAAGGGTGTCGCTAGTTTCACCCCTCCAGCACCATGAGGTCTCCGCCGTGTGGCTGCCCTGAGGGCTCTGAGAGCTGCCCCTGCAGAACTCCCTCTCTCAGCGTTATAGCTCAGTGCTCTGGCTCCCAGGCTCCTCGAAGGAGGACAGCTCCCAGATGCTATTGTCTTGTAGCAGTGGTTCAATGTCCTCATCACTGCCCGGTTCCGGGGTGTTGGTCAGGCCACCACTGATGCTGCTGCTGTGTTTTTGAGCTCCACTGGCTTTACGGTATTCAGGGATGAATAAGGCAACCAGGAAAGACACAAGAACTATACACGCTCCAAATAAAAACGGTGGGCCTGGGATGACCGCTTTCTGATGGATGTGGAAAGTAAGACGAAGAATTTGGTCAGTGTTTTCAACCCAAGGAAATATACCACCTAAAAGTGAATCATTTTCTCAAAAGAAGATTTTAGTATTTCATTACACAATGAGCATGTAGAGCTTAGTCTTTGGAGTATAAAATGGCAATTAATCAGTGCTTTTCTTTGGGTACCACTGCTAAGTAGCTTTCCCCAACCTGAAAACCTACATACTGTGTATCTGTAATCTCATTCTGTGACCTAAGATTATTTCTATACACTAAGCATTAATTCTGATTTTATACTCAATATCTAAATATCACTTAAAAAAAAAAGGAACAGAGAAAGTGCCTTAGCTCAAATTATAGCTGGGTTTCTAGGTCATTTCAGGCATTATTTAATATGAGGTATTAGTGGGGGGCAAATCACATCCTGATCACATTGACTATGTAGGTGAAAACAGAACCTGAAGTTAAGACAAAGCTTTTCCAAGATATTAAATCTCTGAAGGAAGCTCTCCCTGATCCCAGGGAAACACACATGAGCTTACTGCTATAAAATAAAACGGTAATGTATCATTAGGAATCTCTCCAAAGCTGAGCTCACAAGAATTGCTATACTTGGACTAACCACAGTTACAAAACCAGGCAATTACCTGTAGGGCATCACTGTTAGAATTCAATTCCGGACCCAACTCGCTCAGTTCAACATGGAACATGTAGAATATGAAGCCATAAAGCGCCGGCCCTAGGCCATTGCATAGTCCTCTTATTCCAGTTATGATCCCCTGGGCAACTCCTAAAACAGAGCGAAGAAATAGGAATCAGGTTTCTCAGGAAAGCAGGTTAGGATGGGAACTTCACAGTACCCTGACAAACTACGATACACAGAGTGGCCTGGACCAAGTAGAAAGTGGATCACGAAGGCTTCACCATCACAGCCTCTCGCTACCCCAACGATTCCTTCGCTTTACCAAGTCCTCCTAGCGCTGTCCTTTCTTTCTGTACTAGAGTCTCCAAGACGATGACAGTAGTTCCAGTTTCTGAGATCTTTTTGGGTTTGAATTAATCATATCATCTACGTCTGCCAATAAATGGGCAATCATAAATCACAAAGCTAGTGTTATTCCCATTTCTGGAAATTTCCACTCCTGAGTGAACTGAGTGATTTCCCTGCACTGCCCATTTAATGGTGCATCTGCAATAACATCTGCCCTTTGCCTCTCATGGCTCTGGCTGCAGGCCAGGGGAATGGCCCCCATTCTCATGGCAGACACTATCCTCTCAACCGCCCTGGGTCTTCTCCATCACAGCACAGACCTGCACAGAATAACTCAGTGCTGATTTCTAGACACCTCTGCTTTCCAACATGGCTGGTACAAATTAGCTTGAATCATAGGAAATGGGTATTTAAGTCAAAAATGATCAACTACATGTTAGCCTAATGTAACACAGTCCACAGGCTGACTTAATATCACTTATACTTGTATGCATATGCATACATTTTTATGTATAAGCATAAAAACAAAAAAGTCAAAGACAGTCTGAATGACACAACAGTCCTCCAACACAGCTCAAGACTACACTTCAGATGCTAGGTGTCTTCCTCCCAAGCACAGCTACGCACCTGGGGGGATGACACACAATCTGTGGTTTTCAAGTGACACTATTTAAAAATGGATATAAAACAATTTCTGATCTGGCTAATTTCTGATCAGGAAAAATAAATAAACAAATGAAATTATCTTTTCCAATATAGTTTATAGAAAATTTTGAGAGCTTAGGAATTTAAAAAATAAGCCCATTAAAATTTTCTGCTTCCTAACTGCAGTACAGGGAGTTCTGAGAAAACGGACAAGGACTGATTCTGGCAGCAGAACTGTCTGCCAAGGAAGCCAAGGCACAGGAGGCGAGGCAGGGAACCAGCCAACTACTCTTCACGCTCAGATGTCCCTTAACTGCACCTCTCACTCTGTCCAACTACCAGAAACCACACGAATCTTTTCTTTACCCTCTCAAAGAACATTTCCTACATCAAGCTCACAGACTTTGACTTATTTTAAACTAGAGCAATTTTAATGATTAAATGACTCACTGCATTACAGATACCTACTGAAATGGGAAAAGTCAGGTTAATTCTGATGCTAACAAAAAAAAGGAGTCAGAACTGAAAAAGAGAAATGGGTATTTTCTAACTTAGTAACACAAAGAAGTTAAAAAAATTTTTTTAAGTATGAGTAAGATAAAGGCAGACAGGAAAACAAAACTTTCGTATCTGCAAAGCAAACACATATGCTCCTGGAGCAGGGGTCCCAGGCTGTCACCTCCTGGCGTCGATGTGAAGAGCTCAGAGCTTCAGGCTTCTGGTAGGAAGGTCTCAGCTGAAGGAGGAAACAGCAAGGGCCGCAACCTCACCTTGTTGATCTGACTCTGCATTCCTCGAGACAAGGGCACTGACTGCTGGGAATGTGATGCTGGACATGGCGGCCACCGTCCCTGCTGCCCACATCATCCTGTGACAACAGGACAGACCATGGTCAGGCCTGGGGGGCTCATAGTTCGGAATGCAGTGGCAAATGGACGGATGCCTGTTTGCCCATGTTCGGTTTTCCTGTATCACTCTCCTACCCGTTCCTTTTTTTTGAGCCAGGGTCTCACTACATACTTCAAGCTGGTCTTGAACGTGCTATGTAGTACAGGATGACCTCAAACTCATGATTCTTTTGCCTCAGCCTGTCTGTGATTACAGGCATACACCACCACACTGGCTACTTTTCCCTCTTTAAAAAAGGGGTTTTGTTTTTAAACTTTGAAGGGCAACACATCACATCGTTAATACCGATCTCTTTATAGGCTGACTTGGAAATAGAAGATCCAGGAAAATTTCATTTTCTTATTTCACATCTCTCAAAATCTCTTCTCTCTGCTCTGTCACAATCTGCAGCAGTAAGCACAATGCACTTCTGCAGAGGACTTCTTGTCCGTATAAACACTGCATTTCTACTCTGTGCTTCTCAAAGCCTCACCCTCACACTGCTGGTGAACCTCACAGCCTCCAGCTCTCTTCAGGGCAAAGCACCACCAACCGAGCCAGAAGAGCCCACTTCCCTCAGCCCTGTGGCCTGCTCTGCAGGGATAAGGCCTACACATGAGTCAAGGGGCAGTGTGTGAGGAAAGAGGCTCCGCTGGGCCTGTGCCCAGCTGGGTCAGACTTCCTGGGGAATGATCCTTACTGAAAGAGACAAATCCTTCATGATGGAAAAGTCTCCTAACACTGCAAGGGTTGTAACTCAATCAGCTAGAGAATCTAAGGTCATAGGACAAAAATCAAAAAGAACAAGAATCACCTACATTAATTTTAGGTAAAACATCACATATAACAGAGGAAATTTGGAATTTCACATGTTTATTCCTCAGCTAACTTCTAAATACTACGCGTCTACAGTTTCTCTAAATTAGACCCCTCTACAAACACAAAGTGAGAACCAGCTCTGATGTCTAAAATGGGGAGAAGATAGCACGTGTTTGGCAGGTAGGCACATGAGCAAACTTGCCACACAACGAGGAACTTTTGTTTCTTTTTATTCGAGTTTATTCTAACTTTTCTTCCCATTAATGGGAATCTAATACGCTAGGAGCAACTCCCTCAGGCCCCGTATGGCATTCAGAGAGACCTTGGTGTTCATCAAACCAAAAGCTGTATTTCATAAAGGTTATTTTATTGCCTAAGGTCACTTAACTAAATATGACAGCAAAGTTGCCACAATTATTTTTCCCTGTCTTTTTCTCTGGACTGTATGTGATGTCCCCAAACATCGGCAAATGTGTTTAAAATAACAGACACAGAATTTTATTGGCAGGCAGGCTAGGGAAAGGACACACACTGATTTAAGTAATGATTCAGTAAGAAACTGCTGAGGTGAAAGCAATCTTTACAAATCATCTTGAATTATTCAGTTCTACCCATCCCTGCCAACTTAAAGCTTAATGGCTTTTGAAATGCTGAATATGCCAAACTTGTGGCTTCTTATCACACCCAACAAGCCATGCCTCCTCTAACACATATCTGTCTGTTAGTTCTTAAGAATCTATGGGTAAAGCTTACCAGGCTTGAGATCCAAAACCATACCATGCCAACTGCAGCATCTGGAAGCCCAAACCAAGGAGAACAGTGTTCTTATTCCCCAGTGATCTCATCAAGATGCTCAGAAAGACTGTCTGCAAAGGAAAAAGAGATACGCTAAGAAACCATGTGAACACAGACTTAGAGTGAAGCCTGCTCACTGATAATCGGGTAACTCTAATGGCACACTGCTGTCTGTGACTTAGCAGACTGACAGTACTGACGTGTCTTTTGAGAAGTGGAGTTTTAGGGGCTCCCAGCTTAATCTGACTACCTGGCCCTGTTCTAGCAGCTCCCAAAAGATTATCACACCTTTTACCAGGCTCTTTGAAAAAAATGCCAAGCACTTAACTATGGGTGAACAGCAAAGCCCTGCTAAACATTTACAGATGTGGGATCTGGCTGAACAGTTTTATCAAGTTGGACTGGTGTAAGTTTGATTCTAACAAACATATCCCTGATAAATGGTGAGATAGCCTGAAAATGAATACAACAAAAGATGCCAGGAGCTATCAACTAAAGTTAATGTAACACACAAACAGAATTACATAATTACATGAGCTAATAGTCAAAACATTAACGAAAGCCTTTGCATTCTCATGAGCCTTGTCACACAAAGACCCACCTTAGAATATTATTACATGCTACATTTACTTAGAAAGTCAATAGATCTTTTCAAAACAAATAGTTGTCGACTGTAAATGTGCATTCCTCTCTCTGAGCCAAAGAAGTGCACACGAAATGTCAGACAGAACATCTGTGAAGCACACAGGTGCGGACAGGTGCAGTCAGCTGTAGCTGGCCACCCTATGCACAGGAACCTGGGGGCCTGGCCTCCTCGGCTGGGCTCAGCTCTGCCTCCAGTTTCCCCATGTGCGTAGGGGGGAGCTCTGACTGGATGCTTCTACAGCCCTGTGTGCTGTGGTCCTTTCACTTCAGGTAATAGCACAAAATGTGACCACCATTTTCCTGATTGTAAACTTCCATAGAGCATAGCATGCTTACAAATTATACTACAAACAATGCTACAATTTCTGTAGCTCTTCAGAAAAGCTCCATTGTAGGAATGCCTCATTTGGTTGACTTTTTCACATAGCTTGGGAGTATCTTCCACACACACTATGCGCTCCTGAAGAAATCACCTGGCAGGCCTTTTCTAAACTGGCAGCTGCAGCTCTGCCTAGTTTGGACAGAACCATATTTCTGCTCAGGTTCAAACCATTGCTTAAATTACACACTTCCCAGTGGATCCACTTATTGTTCTTTCCTTACATTCCATGGCTTCTTATACAGATGGTATTTTAGTATGTTTCTATAGAATTTCTCCATATTTCTCTAGTGAGAGTTTAAGGTTTTTACATAGATCATAGCACCTTACAGTTATAATTCTCCATTAATACTGCATGTTAACCTTAAAACAAACAACTCAATTTACTCATACTTTCTCTTAAATATATTCTTTCTTTATCACAGACGTAACTTTTTTTTTTTTAACTACACATGCTCAGGACAAATATCACAAAAATAGTGAGCTACAATACGTAACTTAAAAATGCAGCTGATTTCTTTTCATACATCAGTTCTAACATAAAGGGCCAAGCCTCTGACCATGCCCTCGGATCCTTGAGGTCTAAGATACAATAGTCTACGTCATCATTTCTATAGCCCAACAAAAATTAGAGGCCACAGTCCTAAGTGCATAGGGGAGTGTCACTAAAATTCACTACTGCAATGTTTAACTTCCTCATCATTATTTATTTTTTTGTCTTTTTCATTATTATCGGTACCGGGGATCCAACTCACAACTGCCTGCTTGCAAGGCAGGTGCTTATGTTGCTGAGCTAAATCCCCAGCCCCCTCATTATTATTTTAAAATTCACAGCATACATCAAAATGTTGCTAATTATGAAGGATATAAAATTATAGTAACTTCATAATGATTATACCAATATCCATATTTATTTATTCCTAATTAAATTGTTTCATCTACCTGATTCTGAGTTTGAGGTAGCTTCATTGTGGGTCTTTTACTAGGAAAGTGATACGGTTCTGCAGTGTTTAGTTAGAGAAGGAAATATAGCATCATTGATACTGTTTGCTCACTTGACATATAGACAAAAAAACCAACCACTTTTTGGTGGTAAAAATACTGTTCTTTTGTGAACACAGACACAATATGTGGAATTTGTTTCTTTGCATGAAAAGTAGAATCACAGGAAAAGGACTCAATTCTGTTGCTACCTTTCGGTTAACCAGAGCAATAATGTGCATAAACTCAAGCTTGTGTGCATACAACTTCTGCACAGCACAGGGTGACTGAATGAACCAGGATCCGTAGTAATCTGGTGCTGTGGAATATGCACACAAAAGGGTGGCCTCTACCAGCATTTTCTGGCATGCCACGTCAACCACCGTCTGCCTCAATGCCACAGTCCAGTTCTGTAGCCCGGCAAGACTGAACAATGAAAAGCTGGGAAATAATGGATTTTCCAGCTGGACTTCTACAAAGGTCCCCTCTGAAGAACTTTGCTAATCTTTTCAGGTCAACAGGTCTATTTGTTCCAAAAAATTTTTCCTTCTTCACCATGGCTTAGAATTACACAAATCAACCTGCTCCTTTTTGCTATGATCTTTAGAAACCTTACACACCAAATCCACTATTTCTTCACCTGTAAAGTCATTTTTATCCCTCTTTATATTTCCAGTTCACAAACATTTCTCTGATGCTTGCCGCATTCTACATCTGTATCAGAACAAGTTGTCATTCCAGTGTTTTATGAAATATATTATTATTAATTATTATACATAAACCCATTTCAGGATAATCCACTTGGTCATCTATTGTCCAAGAATCATTTGGGAGTCCACTGATCTGCTTCCATGTATGATCTTTCTTTGTAAATTTTTAGTGGAGTTTGCATCCACTGAGTTTTCAGTGCTCTCCTTGGCTGTTTTTCTGAACACTCTGCCATGCTCGGCACCAGCATGGTTTCCCAGACTCTAGTCTTGAGGATATATCCTTGGCTGCCGTCCTTGGTCTCCAGTTTCTTCAATTCAGTCTTGCACCAGCGACTCTCCAATGAGCTAAGCCCCTGGGCAGATGCTGCATCTCTATTCCTCTTCTTTTGTGGCTTCTACACTTGTGAGCTAAGCGGCTGCTGGATCCTTCAGCTCTCCAGCATGCACAGAGCCACTACCGATTCCCACTTCTGATTCTGCAGACAGTTACAATGGATGCTCCTGCCTTTGATCCTGTAAGCCTAACAAGACTTCTTTGCATAATAATAAAAATATGTTTCTAAATGAATCAATTTTATGATATACTCACTGATTCACGTTTTTTGGTCCTGGGGACAGCAAGGGTTGGAGCAGTTATTGCTGTTCATTTCTATTAATTTTTCACCATTAAAATAACGTGACACATTTTCCTGGTTAATTTTCTGGTATCTACAAGTTACTTAATGTCTTGGTTGTTTTACAGGCAAATAACAATACTGATCCAGCATAGATTAAAACAAATTATGCTACTGAAAGTTGTATGAAGCTCCCCTAAATCCGACCTCAACAAGAAGAGACAGTTCTGTGAGCCACGTCCCTGCTAGCTTCTGGGATTTGATGTTATCCTTAGCTGTGCAAGATACACCACTGCAAGCTGTGCCACGGGGTCTGAGGGGTACACTTGTCAATCTGTGGGTATTGAGGAGTAAAAGGAAAACAAAAACTTGTTAAAGTGTAGGTGAAACAACACTCACCTGAGCCACAATAGACAGAACTCCTACCATAGCTATGAAGGCTGCAATTTTAACAGATCCAAAACCTATGACCTAAGAGAATGGGAGAAAATACTTTAGTAACACAGATACTACAGAAATACCTCATCCAAAAAATGTTGTATTAAAATAACGTAAGTGACTTTAGGATAGTTCAACAAGTCAGTGCCAAATCAGGGCAGTGCTAAAATCTGAACCTATTTAACTAGTAATTTGTATTTAAATCTGATTTTAGAAATCATTATAAGCAGGCACAATCTACACTGAGATATTTTGGATACTATTTTCTAGGTCTACCTACTAATTCATATTCCTTCTCTATCCCCAACTCACAAATTGATACACGCAATAGGGAGAATAGGAAAGACAATGTGACTTGACTTTTGATGATGCTGACACAGAATTTCCTCATCAGCCAAACCAATGGCTCTCAACTCACTACACATTAAGATCATGTGGGCAGCAGAGTGGGAAAGAAGGGCAGAACCAGGAGGGCAGCAATGAGATGCTGGAACTCACTGGAGACCAGCTACATCAGACTCTGAAGTATGGCTCTGAGACAAATACATTCTAAAAAGCTCCCATGATGCTTCTAATGAGTTAGCAGCCAACAAAGCTGGCTGGTGATGACTTCTAAGCCTTTGGCTTTAACTGTAGCTCTGAAATGTCAACAATTTCTAATTTTTAAAATATTTGAAAAAGGATAAATTATTTTGCCTTCTGTAAACATTTTATCAAACATTTTAAATATCAAAATTTTATCTAAAACGTTATTCTTTAAAACAAGCACAAATAGAAAATAACAGAATATAATACCTTGTCCTGATTTAACTGGTGATGGTGACATGAACATAGTGTAGGAAAAACAACTAGAAAACTAAAAGCCATTGTTGTTATTTATTTGAAGGAAATTTTTAAACTTTCTTCCTTGGATTTTTCCATTGTATGTTCATTGAAAGCATATTTAATTTAACTATAAATGAATGTGTAATTTTCTATGCTAAACAATTATCTTCTCCAAATCTCTAGCTTCTACCCATCAAAGCAAAACAGAAGTAGAAAACCTAGAAAAACAAGTTCTACTTAGATGCTAACACATAAAGAAGTTTGTCTCATACTCTCAAAAAAATCTAGCAGAATACAGAGTTTATCAAGTATCATTTTAGAATATATGAAAAAAGCCAAGGGATTTATCTGAGGAGGAGGCCTGCTCTGCCAGAGTGGAGTACACCAGCAGGAAGGCCTTCTTTGCAGTGAGATCAGTAATGGCTAATGGTCAGAGGAGAGGCAGCTCGAGTTTGAGCAAGTCTGGAGACACAAAGAAAAGCCTACAAGAAAGGGTGCTGTTTCTTTCACATAAATCAATGATTACTTTAGGGGGACAAAAAAGGTAGAAACTGTTGAATGTTATTCATTGTTTTATTTGTGGTACTGGTCTCGAACTTATGACTCTCCTGTCTCACTACACTATGCCACCTGCCCAGTTCTACACAAGTTTAAAAACAGAAAGTGAGAAGACAGAAAAGATTTTGATTGTTGTTTGTGAAGCAACATGAGGTCCAGTGCAGTGGCTGACCTACAGCTCACAAGGCCAGGTCAGTAAGGTAGCCATCATCAGCACCAAGTCAGGATGTGTTTGGATAAACTTCCTCTCTGTGCAATCTAATGGATAGTCACAGATGGAAGTGTTTACAGTACTTTATCCATAGTTACCAAAACTAGGAAGCAGCCAAGATAGTCTTTAGTGGGTGAATGGATAAATGGGTATATCCAAACTGCTAAAACTGACAAAGAAAAGAACGAACTATCACGCCTAGAAAAGACAGAAGAAAGTTATGTGCAGATTACTAAGTGAAAGATGTCACTTTGGAAAGGCTACAAACTGTATGATTCTAACTCTGGGACAGTCTGGAAAAATCAGATTTACAGAAACCAAAAAGAGATCAGGACTTGCTAGTGGGTGCCACAGGTGGAAGGACGCACAGGTAGAGCACAAAGGATTCTTAGGGCAGTGAGAATAGTCTAGACCGCATGGTAAAGTAGGATTCATGTCACTACACGTTTATCTAAACCCACAGAATGTGTAACACAAGAATGAAGCCTACTGTCAACTACAGACTTAGTTCGTTCATTTAACTGTGACAAATGGACCACTCCAAGTGCAGGACTTGGATAGTGGAGGAGGCTGTGTACTTGTGGGGAAGGCTGAACGAGAATTCTGTGCACCTGCCCCTTACTTAGCATGAACTTAAAAGTGCTCTAAATGGAAGTCTTCAAAAATATGATACCTAGAGCCTGAGATGCTGAGGCAAGAGGATTGCAAGTTCAAGCCCATCTCGGACAATTCAATGACTGTGATACCCTCTGTGCAAATAAACAATAAATAATTCTCAACCGAAGTTTTCTGTAGTACGTATCTCATTACACGTTTTTGTTTTTTGAGATGGGGTCTCAAACTCTTGGGCTCAAGGGACCCTCCTGCTTTAGTTTCCTTAGTAAGGCATGCCCAACTGTGCCCAGCTTCTTGCTGTTTTTCAAGTCATCACTGCATTAAATGCTCCTGTTTACTAATTCTCCATCAGGACCTACGTCTATAACTGGAAGCAAGTTGACATGTTATCTTCTCTGTTTCCCAAGTTATCTTTAAGCAGATCCCAATCTCCAGTATTCCTCATATTCAACAGCTACTTGGTACCCACTACTCACCTGCCTGAGATACAGAAAAAAACTTGAATACTGTCCAGCTTCAGGAAGATAGGAAAGGAACACGGTGATACAGATAAGTAAGACAGTAGAATCCTTCCAAACTCTCTTCAGTGACTGGAAATAAGCAGAAAGCAAACACATAAATAAGCCAGTAGACAAAAGTATCACCAATGTTCTGCGATACAGGCTTTCACTATTTTGATTTATTAAGATGGATAATAACAGTTGAATGGATTATAAAAGGAAGTACATTTTAACATTAAATTTATCACCATCTTTCTGTGGAAGTAATGTCATTTCACATATATGCATTTTAAATATTACGGCTTTTTGAAAAACACTTAAGTCACCTTTGTGAGCAAATGTGGCTTGTATTTTTAAACAGATTCTAAACATCCCATAAACAAATCCTGAAATATTTCTATAGAACCCTTTTAAGGAAATCGCTTCTCTTGATTTATAGTATAACTTCTTTAAAGTCATATCCAGTATAGTTTTTGCCTGGCTCTTATAGCCAGTAAGGAATTTACACATAAACTCACTCCATTCTTCAAAGTGTTGACATTTAATTTGCCTTATGGTATTCAATTTATATTCCTGGAAACCTGGCAGACAAGAAAGTATGCTCCATACTAGTAAGAATATTTTAAATATCACTACTTTTTTGAAGAATCCTTATTTGCATACGATTACTCAACAAAACCTAAAGGCACAGAATTATGAAGCGGAAAGTGCTGCAAAGCTTCTAGGTCATCATCCTAGCAAAAAGAGCTAATGCCTTCTGAGACCTTGCTACACACAGACAGCAGAGTAGTTCTTTAACAGTAACTGCAAGTTCCACCTCATAGGAAGCTTCCACCTGGATCTTGACCCCTATGTGATAAAAAGGTGGGAAGCCTCAGTGCTGGCTCCCACTCTTGCGTCCTTCCCCAAACTCCTCCTTTACTATCTGACACCATGGCACAAAACACAACGTCCTCAGGTCATGCCCTTAGGGGAGATTCAAAATTTTTTCTGAGTTATTTTTCTTATATGTATTTTCTCCAAAAGGTAAACTTGGGAGACAAAAGCAAAAATCAAGTCTCGGGTTCACTGTTTTCCTCCAGTGCGTAATTCTGACAAGAATAATTTCAAGCTACATAAGTGGTGAGAAGGAAGGTTGATGAGAGACAATTTTTCTCAGCATTTTCCTAGTTAGTCTGACACACTCCTCGCTGGTTCCTTCTTAAAAAAAAAAAAAAAAAAAAAAAAACAAACAAACAAAACCTGTAGAAAACAAAGAATCTGTTTAATCTACATGATCTATTTAATCTACACACTGTAAGTTCAAAGCCTCTGGCCAATGTGGATGTATAATAACAACCTGTATACTAATAACTAGTATACAGAGCAAATGCATTTATCCTTAATTAATGAACTCATTTCAAATGACCAACTGCAATATTTTGTTAAAAGAAAGAAGGATGAAAACTACCAAGCAAAGAGAAACTCCTTCCCAAACTGTCACCAGATATTAACTGGGCATTTACTTTCTCTCATTTCTCCATGACGTGTTAGGCTTAAGTACCAATTCTGTACATTTCCTGGAACACAGACTACTTCACTGGTTTACTTATAATTAACATTTTTGTATTTTTACTGAAAAAAGAAATAGATCAACAACAGCTGGCATTCGTGAGGCTATGTGTATACTGTCTTATTGTCACAGAAAGATATTTACAAAGTCAGTATTTTCATTTACCGCAAAAGGGTCTGCTTGTTTCCAAGAAATCTGAGCTCCCCAGGAAACTGGTCTTATTTTCTCTGGCAGAGATTCTGGAACCGCCACCAAGATGAAGCAGATGTCCAGAAGAGCCACCACTGTTGCCACCAGCACCACAAGGCTGTCTCCATATTTGGCAGAAAGGAATGCTCCGATGGCTGGGCTGCTGACCAGACTAGCTGCAAAAGTGGCTGAGACCTGTGAGGAAGCACAGTGTCACTTACAATCTCACGGCTGAACACCTGTGGAGAAAACATCTTTTACCCAGCTCTGACTTAACGATTATGCAACTTATATCTGCATCAAAATATTACACTGTACTTCATATTAACGTATACAACTTTTATTTATGCTATCAGTTTAAAATTTTTAACATGTAATAAGTGTGGAGATACAGGGGAATGCGTATCTCCACAGGCATTTTCCACGGTGGAGAAACAGTGCAGTACACAGTGTGATGAGTGTGTTCCTGGCCCTCTTCCCTGCTCTGGTGACCACCGCTGTCGGTCCAGTAGGAGTATCTTGTCCTCTGAACCCTTTCTTGAAGCCTTTCTGTTAGCTTCTTTCCTATACAGTGCTGCGCAGAAGTCCCCATGTCAGATGAGGTGCAGGAGACATGGGAGTAGGGAAGAGGCAGGGCTAAACAGCAGGTAGGAGTCAAAAGGGATGTGGGGCTGAAAGAGAAGTTTTCAAACTACTAATTCTAAAATCAACAAAGTAAAAACCATTGTTTTGTGGGACAGTGATAATTTACAATGTCCACTGCTGATTCATGAAGTTATTTATTTGGTCAGCACTGAAGGACACTTAATTCCTTTCCAGGAATTAGGACCCAGGAAGGCCTCACCCTCCAATCGACTGTTCTCCACAGTGCTGCCAGGTGATCTTTCTTCTTCCACTTCTGATTGTGGATATTTTTAAGCAGAGGAATTTGGGGGAAGGACAACACACACTTAGGAAGTTATACTTCACCATTCTTTGGTGAAATGTTTTTTAGATGTTTGTTCCTTGCTTTCATCAACATGTGTAGGAGGTGTCCAGGCATGGAACATGTGTCCACACATGCTCGTCCACATGCCTACATGCTACCTTTCCTCAAACCACTTGACAGTAACGAGGGTTATCTATTTCATAACTGCTTGCTGAGTTAATGAAAGGTCTTTTTTCTAAAGTACTGTACTAAGTCCTAGGTGAGTGCCTAATACAGACAAGCATTAGAACTATACCAGATTGCTGAGGTTCTAACACCTTAAGTCTTTTTTATGACCTTATTTTTAATCTTACTTTCTAGAAACTAATTATTGCTAATTATTGCTCCAGTTTTTAAAAAGCAGTAATTTTCTTACCCATCCATAAGCAGTACTTCGTTCATGCTCCTGAGTAATATCAGCTACATAGGCAAATATCACAGAGAATGTAACTGAGAAGACTCCAGATACAGAAATCATCGCAAAATACCACCTATAAAAAAATAAGAGTTTAATTAGTCAAGAAAGAGGCAGTATATGTTCATTTTTTGACCAGACTCAAATATATTATGTAAGGACTATAAACCAAGAAGTAAATATGCATGTGTATGTAAGTACAGTATACTTAAAGACAGAAGAAATTAAAAGTCAGGATGGGGAGAAAGAAGCAGAAACACTAGCTTTGTTATTGCTCAAAGGGGTACATATATCAAAAAAATGAAAAGATAGTTATAGAGACAAAAGAGAACGAATAAGAAAGTAAAGTTCAGTTTTACACAATTACAATTTTAAAGATGACCAATTAAATGAAATCTTTTCAAATTTTCAAATTTCCTTGCTATAGCTAAGAAAAAGACCCACGCAACGAATGATTTTTAAAAATGTACACAAAGAACATGAAGCCAGCACTTGGCGCTGCTTTGCTAAGCTAGCATTGGACGCTGACCACTGCTCTGCCTTGGGAGGAGTAACAGGGAAACACAGTCCAGGAGGCAAAAAAACAAGAACCACACAAAAGCAAAAAGTGTAACAGAAAGTTTATACAATTAAAATTTGAATAATCGTATTATATACACAGGTGCTTAACAAAGCCTACTTAAAATAGGAAAGAAGGGGAAAAATGAGAAAAGGAAAAATGGAACAAACCTTTGGTAAATAAGGAGGGGAAGAGAGGTTGAAAGGAGTGTTGGGAAATGGGTAAAAAAACAACCAATATACATCATGTACAGGTACAAATTACCTATAATGAATGTGATCATCATATATCTAAAATGTACCAATGAATCTAATTTTAAAAAACCCAATATAATAGCCAGTCAATAAATAAAATAGCAAACAGCATCCCAAAGAACAGAAAGTGGGGCTTATAAAACTTATTAATACATTCATCATATTATAGTTCTTAACTCCTTAACGCAAATAATCTCCATGCTGAAAGGCTATCTAATAAGATGTGATACCCAATCTTGATTTTAAATAAGAAAATACCTGCATAAAATAGGAATGAGGACTTTTCAACATAAAAGCAGCCTAAGGTCTAATGACGAAATAACACACTCTACATACACAAAGCCTTCTGATTGCCATCACTTTTATCTGACATTATTTATTAGCACAAGAAGCAAAGGCAGACAGAAGTACGAAAAGTGGAAAGAGAAAGGTCAAATTATCTACAGATCACATCAATATACCTGGAAAACCAAGCAGAGGGAAACTGACTACTTGGTGACAGAACAAAAAGAACACAATGAATATGAATAAGAGTTATCAACAAATGTACAAATTTAACAAATGTATACTAAAGAAATTGTAAGCTGTAAAAAGCATTTTAAAAAAGCATGATATGTTCTTGAACATAAAAATTCATTATCTAAGAAAATACAGGCAGGGGATTTAGCTCAGCGGCAAAAGTGCCTGCCTTGCAAGTGTGCAGTTGTGAGTTTGATCCCGGTACCAAAAAACCCCTCAAAATCCAAAGAAGTAGAGAATACAAAGATTATGGATACCCAGCAAATTTACAACATGACAATTGTTGACATGAAATTCCTAGTAATAATCACACGAAAACATTTCTTCCATGAATCAAAAACAGAAACTCTAACAGCATGAAAAACCAAACCAAAATTGAGGATGTAGCTCGGGTAAGGCAATCACCTAGCACACACAGCCTAGGCTCAGGCCCAGCTCAGCAAGGGGCGGAAACAAACTGCTTCATCTTCTCATGGGAAGAACACTGTAAGCAACAGGAGAACTGGCCAAAGCACTGTTCTCCTGCCTCTAGAAGAAACTACTAAGCTTCTGTATTAAGACCAACCCTTCTATGTCAAGTTAATTGACTTGAGGTTACATGTTAAAATGCTTTTCTCTGATATATCATACTGAAGAGAAAAAAAATGAATTCAAATTCAAATCAACTTAAATTCAAATCCCATTATATTCAGAGTAGCCTATCAGCCCTGCTAACAGTATATACAAAAAGAGACTCTTTATCTGTTAGGATGTGAACTATGTCCAACTCAGTGTCCCCGTGAGCTGACAGAGACAACACATCTGCAAAGACAACAGACTCACATTGGGAAGGACAGGGGATCCTTCCTAAGACTTAACCCCTATAAATGACAACATGGCAGGAAAAACTGCCTTAGGCATCTTTTATTTGTTTCTTCATCTAACTTATTTCTTTGAAACTCAATTTTGTTATGCCTTCCTTCCCCATTAATGAAATGGGCATGATGTCAACTGCTTTCTGTATTATCCAAGATATGGAATGAAAGCACGGTCCCATGCAGAGTACATAAAGATGCACCTTTGGAGCGGGACCCAGGTCTAAGCAGAAATTTACTCGTTTCACACACATTACACCTATGGGCTAGAAGTAACCTGATGCAATATTTTAAATGGTTTTGTGTGAGAAACAAAGTTTGTGTACACTGAATAATCAGACTTTCATGTCAGTGCTCAAAAAGTGCTGGATTTGGAACACTTCAGGTTCTGGATTAGGGATGTTCTCTCTGCACTCTCTGTGACCCCAAACAGACTGGTACACAGTGTAGGGCTGAGCTGCTCACCATGGGTTGATCCTCATCAGGGGAATGGGGAAGCAGGTGAAGAAAACTGTGCCGAGGAGAAAAGGCTTCCTTCCCCACACGTCGGAGAGTGCACCAATGAGCGGGGCGCTCAGGAAAGACAGCAGGCCCTGAAGAGAAGCACAGCCACGGTCAGATCAGGACGGAGCTCTCGCATCACAGCACCTGTATTTCTTATTTTCCAGATGCATCAGTGCCAATCATTTTATTAGTCTCAAAAGAGAATAACTTGAAACAAATACAAACTATTGTTTTGGGGTTTTTGCTTTAGTTTTCAGAATGTGACTGGCACCTGTTGCAGCAAACAGTGATTCCCATTGTGCGTAGCTGCACATATACAATTCGATTCTCTTTCTAATCCCTTTCTCTTCCTCCCGTCATCCAAAAAAGATCTATTTCCTATTATCTCTCATTTACTGTATTTTGCTTTTTATTTGTATTTTTTGTTTCTCATATAAGCGAAAGCATACAAAATTTAAACTTGCGAGTCTGACTTATTTTAATAAGCATTATGGTTTTTTTCGTGTTGTGAGACCGGGTTGCATCTCCCTACCTAAGCTATAAGTGTGGCAGTCACAGGCATGTGCCACTATGGCTGGTTATGAACTACTATTTTTCACAAAGTGTATTAAAACATGCTGTTAAAAAAGGAATAAATTAGCTTGTTCTGCAGAAGAAATAAGCAAAGAAGTGCTATGACGTATGTATGGGTAGCCCTAAGATGGAAATACACCAATCACCTGCAAGAATACATGCTGCCCATCTGCTCTGCGCAGGGCTCGGGATTAACTGGGGACCCTGCATGAACAACAGTGGACATTTCAAGGAACTTTACCGGGTAAAAACGGTGAATGCGCAAACATAAAATATGAAAACAAAAAGATTTTTGATCAACCAAAGTAATTTATTCCTACTTGGTGAGTTTGAAAAGAAAATGATCCCACTTTAACAACGGAGCTGACATTACAAGCAGGGCAGTTTGAGACTCCTGCTTGCCCGGCCCATTATTACCATTCACTACTGGCCACTTTCACATTAGTATATGGCTACGTACTGGGGGGAACAGACAGGTAAGACAAGAGAGGACAGACAGACATTATACTAGTCTTTACTTTTTATATTTGAATGTTCCTAATAATATTTTTGAAATAGGCTCACCAAAACCTGTCCCCCAAACACCTCCTACAAGCAGTCTCAGCAGTTTTCTAAACACACCGCGCACCTGGTGTTGTGCTCTCACATTGATGCAGTACAGACGAAGCAGTCCCTCTGGTAATGGAAATCCATTCTGAGCTAGGGCTACAAAGGATGTAGTTTTGAGATATGGTCTCACTACATTGTCTGGGCTGGCCTTGAATAACTATATGTAGACCAAGGTGTACTCAAACTCCTGAGTGCTGGGATTACACGTGTGTGCCACCATGCCAGACTAGAAACCTTTTTCTTTTTCGTCTTTTTGAGACAGGGTCTCACTAGGCAGTTCATGCTGGCCTTGTACTCACGTTGTAACCCATACTGGAACTCCCAACAATGCGCCTGCCTCAGCATTCAGAGTGCTGAGATTACAGGTGTGCACCACAACGCCCAGCTTAGAAAACCTTTCATATTGTTTCAAAAATTAAGTATAAAAGTCCTAAGTAGCTGGGTGGTATGAAAGTGACCAAGAAAACAATACAAAAAATTTAAGAGAGCAAAGCAGAAGAAAGTAAGTACTACCACCAAAATTAATAATAAAAACTTTTTAGGCACAAAAAGACTCAGGAAAAGTTTTTGGACAGTTCTGATTTCATATGTAATACAATGCTTAAAAATTGCTTTTTTTTTGACATGATGCTGAGATGGAACCCAGGATGTAACACAGCCCAAGCAAGTCATTCTTCAAACAAAGGACACAAGAAAGCCAAGTACTTATATCTAAAAGTATATAAACACACGTTTTCTAGATTATAGATTTAAATTGTACTTTAATAGTTTAAATATTTAAACCAAATTCTCAGTGACAATAACATTAAAAATATCCTCTGCTTTACTAAGATACTAATTTAATAAAACCTTTGCCTCTTTGGAAAACTTTTATTTCCTAAAAACTAAACTTTCTTTTGTCCCATTCTTTCCTAGTATCCAGACTGTCCCTTGTGCCCATCAAGCTACATTAGTGGAGTCATAAGATATTTTGTACTTTGACTAGGCAAGGACAGTAGATCATAGTATTTAAAGTGCCAGAGTACAATCTGCAAGTAAGAACAAAATGATTTTTAAAAATGGAAACTAGACTGACTCAAAATCCCACTCTTTAGCTGAAATAGTCATTTTTTTTCCCTGTTGTTTTGTTTTGTTTGCAACTGGGTCTTTCTATGTAGTTCAGGTTGAACTCATTAGGTAACCCAGGCTGGCTTTGAACTCACTGTGATCCTCCTGCCTTAGCCTACCCAGGGCTGGAATTATGAGTGCATCACCATGCTTGGCTTGAAATATTCATTTTTGTCATTTATAGGTAGTTACATGCTGTAAAGTCACCACAAACACTAGAGTAGTAACTACAGAGCCAATGCTCCCAAGAGATACAAGGACAGCGTATTGTGAGGCCCTGTCCAACCTCAGCTGGAAGCATACACATCAAATAACTAAAGAGTTTTCCCTTGCTCTGTATCTGTGAATAACCACAAAGGCACGTGAGGAACTGATTTAGGGGCTGAAATGAACTTTTTGAGGGGGTGACTTACAAATATGAAACCTGTATCACACAACCACAGCCACTTAAGTACTGGATACAACTTCAGTTATAATCAAGGAAATTCTAACAAAACAGATACAATTTTCAAGCTAGCAAATGGGTAATACCAACAAAACAGATACAATTTTCAAGCTAGCAAATGGGTAATACTAACAAAACAGATAATTTTCAAGCTATTAAATGGGTAAATACCCAAAAAGCATCACCTGCATGACAGCACCATGAGACAGTCACTACCTAATGATGCAGGAGGTGTGCAGTGGCAAAAGTGCTCAGAAGGCAGTGTGACAGTGTGAATGGAAGACCCTGACAAACACCCAAACTGGTTAAATCTTCAAAACTATTTTGTGCAAACAGTAAGAAATGTAGGCAAGATTTATTTTTGAAAAAATTTGCTATAGAATTAGCTTCAGCAGTTTGAAAATCATCTGAAAGGGAAGTGGGTGAGTGTATTATGATAATGTCATGCGACAGGATGGTATGTAATCATTTCAACAGGAACCGCCTTGCTTTATGTGGCAGTGCAGCACCAGCAAATGATCCTGCAACATGATCTGAACAATCTACTAAAAAATACTAATTGTTTAGTGACCTTCAGAAATCTTTGCCAAAGCTCTGCCTTTTCTAATCATTTCGAATGGTTAGTGAAATTTTACAAAAATTATAGCACAAAATTAGTACAATAATTTCTTTTTTAAAAAACAGTACTGGGGATTGAACTGAGGACCTCATTTATGCTAAGCCAAGAATTCTACCACTGCGCTACATTCCCAGGTAATACACTAATCTTAACAATATTGAAAGTATCGAGAATCGAAGTACTTTCTTTGTAAAAACAAACACACATTAAGAGGAGATTTCTGGGAAGATGGCAAAGAAGAAGCCCATGGAATCTGTCTGCCTGCCTAGACAATCTGCTTGCCTAATACAATCTGACTGATGAAACTATTTTGTAATTCTGGAGTCTATCAAAGGCTTATAACTTCCAGGGAAAGGAAGGCTTGCTTCAGAAAAGTACGATTTCAGCCAGGCGTGGTGGTGTATGTCTATAATCTCAGATTGAAGCAAAAGGTTCACAAATTCAAGTCCAGCCTGAACAATTTAGTCAGATCCTGTCTCAAAATAAAAATAAAATTCTGGGTATGTAGCTCAGTTCAGATTATGGGCTCAGTCCCCAGGACACATATACATACACACACTAAAAGTACAATTTCAGCTCTCAGTAGCAGGTACCCATTTGCTACCCCCAGCCCCACGGAAGGCAACTGAACAGTGTCCTGAGAGGAGCTTCTACAACCTTGTAAGGGTTGGTACTCTTCCCCAACATTAGGGATCTATGTTTCTATCAGTGGTGCAAACAGGGCACTGTTGCTCCTTCTCCCATTGTTGGAGTGGTTGAAGTGATTTTTAAAAGCTAATGCTCTTTCCCTTCTTTTCTCCCCTATCCCTCATTTTCTTCTTTTGGGAGGCAAGCATTTAAGATTAGAACACTCAAAAGCAACTGTAGCTTTCCTGTTGCTGGACACAACACCTGAAACTTACAACTTAGAGGAGGGGAGGTTTAATTTAGCTCTCAGTTTGGGGAGATTCAGCACATAGATGGCAGGTTCCAAGGCAGGAACATCTAGGAGGGCACGGAAAGTGAAGCAAAGCCACTTAGTTCACCGCAGCTGGGAAGCAGAGGAAAGAAGTGCCAGAGACCAACAGGCAAAGGACTATAAACAGCTCTCAAGGTCATGGCTCCATGACCCACCCAGACACATACCGGAGTGCCCTTTACTAATCTGGTAGACGTAGTCCAATTAAGGTAACATGTCAGAACTGAAGTCATGTAGGGCTATTATAAAGTGACAGTGCATACCCAAGAAAAGGTATAGGTTAAGAATATACCTTAAACTTAAACCTCAAGATGACCCCTTGACCACAGTAAAGCTGTAACAAAAACAACAAAAATGATAACAAAAAATTGCTAACACGAGGAAAGAGGGAGAATCTGACTTTCATATTTACCACATTACCAGATTTAAATATCTAGTTTTCAACAGAGAATCACAACGCATACAGAAAACTGGTAATGTACCAAAAAAATCCAAACCAAAACAAAACAAAAACCAAAAAAATAAAACAACACAAAAAGCAAACTGTCTCTGAAAAAGGCCAGGCAGCAAATACACTAAATAAGGATTTGATTTAAAAATTTTAAAGCACATTTTAATTTTCACATTAATTTTATAAAATACTGAGTTTCAATATGGCATTTTCATATATACGTATTTTGATCACATCTTCTAAACATTATTTTGCCTATATTTCTTGTAGTGGATTGGTGACTGGTGATCAACTTGTAACACCAGTTGACCTGAACCAGTGTGGTGCTAGGCGTGGATTATTGCCAACATAAAAGGAGAACTGAGAGGAAGAAGTTAATGTTGTGGGTTCTCCTAAGTGTTGTTGTTTGGAGCTTTTGATTTTCCTGGGGAGCTTGCCGTGCTGGCTTCTCCAATATGAATTTGGCCATTATCATTGGAGGAGCTCGGAACCTTATAACTGAGAGGGGTTCACTTTGGGGGAGCTCTGCTCCTTACTTTGAGCATCATTTTCTGGCTCTAGAGGGGAAGATGTGTGCTATCCAACCTCCAGGAGAAGCTTGTCATGCTGGATTCCTGATAAGAACTTGGCTGTTATCATTGGAGGAGCTCCGGACCTTGCTGTCACTGAGGATAGCTGTGGAATTTTTCAGGGGAGCCCTGGTCCTTATTTTTGAGCATCACTTCTTGGCTCCAGTGCAGAACCTTCAATCTATTAGTACAAATCCTTCACCCTTCTAGCATGGACTTTCTAGCTTCCACTGCTGATCTTTGCACCTCCAGCACAGATTCATGAAACAGACTTGCATGAGTCATTGTCATGGGCTGTTGGACTCATAGAAGGCACTATTATGGGCTTGAGGTCTTCACAGGAACTCATGCAGGATACTGCCATGGGAACCAGGCACTTGGCTGGATTCTCTAGGTCTTTAGTTTGTAGACAAATTTCCTGTACTTCTTGTATTTGACTCGTTAGGTGACCATTATAAAATTAAACTATAAATTATGTATCCTGTATATAATCATTTTCCTTGCAATCCCCGACTACAACACCTCCCTAACATTCTCTTCTCTTTTTTTGGTTTGCTTGTTTGATTGTTTTTTTTTTTTTTTTTTTTTTTGTTTTTTTTTTTTTTGAGACACGCATGAAGTTCAGGCTGGCCTTGAACTCACTCTTGCAGAGATCCTCCTGCCTCAGCTTCCCAAATTCTGGGGTTACAGGCATGTACCACCATGCCTGGCTTCCTTTGCTCTTAAACAAAGACTTTTAACTACTATTTTAAGATGCTCAAAGACCTAAAAGAAGATGTGAGAAAAATCAACAATATGATGTCTAAGCTAAATGCAAATATCAATAAATAGAAAACCTAAATAGAAATCTTGGAACTAAAAGTTAGTAACTGAAATTTTAAAACACATACTAGAATGATTTAAAGGCAGATTTTAGCAGTAAATTTGAACGTGGATAATAGAAATTATTGAGCCTGAGGAATAGAAAAGACCACAATGAACAGAGCCTAAGGGACTCAAAGGATACCATCAAGCTAACTAAAATATGCACAGACTCTGTGACAGAGAAGAGAAAGGAACAGGGAGAATATTCAAATAAATAAGGCCTCGAAAATCATAAATTTTGATGAAAGATGTGAATATGAACATCCACGTTCATCAGCATAAACTCAGAGACCCATTCTAATACAGATTACAATCAAAATACAGAGAGATCATTGTAATAGTAACACTGGAAAAAGCAAGAGCAAGGATCGTCAACACGGTGCCAGCACAGTCCTTATCAGGGACTTGGGAGACCAGAAGAGGCGGGACGACACACTCAAGTGCTAAAAGAAAAAAGCTCCAGGAAACTCCTCAGTCATCTTCCCCTGCATATATATGTACATATATCAAAATAAAATGGAACTACATATCTATATCCTGTTTTTTCATATACTACATGTTCTTCAAAAAATGTGTTCTTCAAATGGTTCTATGACATCATAGCTATACCACAATGTGTCTCTTTTAATTATTTCCATGTTTACTATTACAAATGAAACAACAAATTCCTCTTTGACTTTTCTCTTATTTTAGTATTTTACTGGAACTGAACTCAAAGAGGACTGAATTACATCTCTAGCCCCTGTTTTTAGTTTTATTTTTGAGACAGGGTCTCACTAAATTACCTAAACTGGTCTTGAATTTGAAATCCTCTTGCCTCAGCCTCCCAAGTCTCTGGGAATACAGTAAATTACTAGGCCATAATTTAAATTTAAGCATGTTGTTCAGCACAGAGTATTAATTATACAAACACTGATACTAAGTTAAATAAGACTGTATGCTTTAAAGTGAACTTACTAGAATATACTGTTACATTTTAACCCCTTACTTATAAACTTTTCCAAAATACATTAAAATCGAAATAATCAGCTAAAGCTACCTAAACTGAGTGAGTGAGAATTGATAAAGTCATGGGTTGAGCATCAGCTTGGCCAAAAGGCTAAATAAATATCCAAGTGAAATCTGGTGCTTCCGTCTCAGTCTCTAAGTCTACCTAAAGAGATAACAGCATTTATCCTCTGCTCTAATTGAAAGGCAGAGTAGTGCAAAGCTTTCATAACTGCTGGATACCCATGAATGAAAATGCAGGAAGGCCTAGGAAGTATTCACACTGCTTTTAACAGTAAACCAGCTATTCCCTAGGTGTCTCTGCTTTATTTTATTTTGATTTTGGTAAACCAATTATAAATTTAGACATAAGTCTCTAACGTAAATAGTAACTGTTTACTAAGAACCACTTAAACCTCAGTTAAATTACTAAAGATCCCTCGCTTCGGTTCATCACGAACCACACAAAAATTGCTCTTACCTTTACACCTTGAATGAGACCATTCATGAGGAATGTATGTTGAGAAAATGTTTCATGTAGAACCTACAAAAAGCAAACAGACATCGAGACATGTTCAAATTCAAATTAAAAGGAGATTTCTGCCTCTATTAGCAGCAAGCCTCATAATAAGATGAACTCTGTAATGGAAACTGATAAAATATTAATGAAATGAAAAATCTTAAAGGGATGAAAAGGTAAGAAGTTAATCATTAGAAACTAATTATTAGGAATCTAATAAGGTAAGAGTTCAAAAGGGTTAAGACCAACACTTAAGAGTTGCTTTTGTCACAGAACAGTTTCCCAGGTACTCAGCTCTGAGCTCTAACAACTGATATCCCCAAAAGATTGTATAAACCCAGGTATGGGCCCAGTTTCCTAACACCTAACTGACACCCAGAAAAACTTCAGGCCATAAATTTGCATTACAAACACTAGCAGCTTCCTATTAGAAAATCGCTTCTGAAAAATCACATGATTGAGGCTTAAAACTGCCCTCATATTTATATATACTTTCAAATCTAGTAACCAATAGCTACTCAACAACAGCCATACACTAACGGGAAAAACACACCATGAGCAAGGAACAAACAGCAAGCACAACAAACCACCACAGTGAAACTGATCCTCCAAAACTTCAACTCTGAAATTATTCAATACAAGGCTTTAAAATGAGTATACTACATCTAAGACAAAGAAGAAACGGCTGAGACCCCTAAACCCAGAAACTGGAAGAGAGTACGGGTGTATAGGCTGAGACGGCAGCTCAGTGGCAGCCATTTCCAGCACGTGTCTAGCAAGCACTGGGCTTGACCCTCAGCACTGGAAAAAAAAAAGTATACAAAAAATATAAGAGAACAAAATGAAATTTTAGAGAAAAAAACACATTTATAGAGTCAGCAGATGTGTTCAATAGAACACTAGACACAGCTGAAGAGAGAATTCCTGAGCACAAAATAGGCGTAGTTCATATTTTGTGCTGCTGTAACAGAATAGCTGAGAATAGGTAATTTATAAAGAACACGAATTACTGCTCACAGTTCTAGAGGCTGGTACGTGCAAAACCAAGGAACGCACCACTGGCTGACAAAGAGGAAGGGGGAGAACAGGTGGGGATCACAGTTGACTTTTTTCTTTTCATTTCTTCCCTTCTCCTCCTTCCCCCTTTCCACTCTTTTCCAGGAATAAGCACCGAACCCAGGGGCACTCTATCACTGAGGGGCCCCCTTTCCTCTGTTTTCTTTCTTTTTTCATTTAACACAGGATCTCACTATGTAATCCGGGGTGGCCTGGAACCTGTTACACAAATCAGGTTGGTCTCAAACTCACAACCCTCCTGCCTCAGCCTCCTGAGTAGCTGGGATTATAAGCCTGTGCCACTGTACTTTACTAGAATCCCAACTCTTAATATTGTTAAAATGTCAACTAAATTTTAGCATGAGTTTTGAGGAGACAAATATTCAAATTGTAGCATAGGACAAAAGTTATTGCACAAAAATTCAGAATGGAGACAAAAAGTGTAATAAAGAGTAAGACACTGGATCTAATAAAATTGGACAGGTGTTCAATTAAACTTGTCCCAGGCAAAGAATGAGGCAGAGAATAACTTTAGAGCTGGTGGCTGCGATTTATCAGAAACAATGAAAGACACTTCACAACACTAACTCAGGATGGATCATAAATTAAATCTACAAAACTCATGGCAACACAAGAGAACAATCTACACGACCTTCAGTTTGGCAGTGACTTTGCAGATGTGACACCAAAGCACCATATATGAAGAAGAAACAGCTCATTAAAATTTTCTGCTCTGAAAAGATACTATCAAGAGAATGAAAAGACAACCTACTGACTGAGAGAAAATCTCTCCAAAAGATATAAGTAATAATGGAGTTTTTACTGAATTTTACAAAGAACTGTTAAGGCACTACAATTAGAAAACAACTTGATTTACTCTTCAAAGGTACCTCACCAAAGACAACTGAAGATGCCAAATAAGCATATGAAAAATGCAGCACTTTAGGTGCCATCAGAAAGTGTAAATTCAAAATGAGGTACGCTATGCACCTCTTAGAATGGCCAAATCCCCGACTACTGACAAATGCCAAATGCTAACGAGGATGCAGAGCAATGACACGGAAATGCCCCTCAGTGCTTGCGGCACACAAAACGGTACAGCCGTGTTGGAGGACAGTATGACAGTTTCCTATAAAACTAAGCATATTCTCACCATGTGGCCCAGCCCTTGATGTCCACAGGAGAGGATCACACAAGTGGAGGTAGATGGATCTGAAACTACCTTCTTCTCAACTTCTTTGTAAACCTGAACTGCTCTGAAATAACACTGTCCTAAGTGAAAATGAAATTCATCCGCAAATTATTTTCAAATGCAGCACCTGAACTCTGCTTGGCTGTACTGAAGAAAACAAGTATTTTAGTGGGGTATCATCAAAGTTCTCAGAAAAATTTTATCAAGACTATAACACTCAGTAACTTGTTTTGTACATCAAAAAGTATGATGAATCAGGAGTGGTGGCACATGCTACTCTGAGAGGCTGAGGCAGGAGGGGTGAAAGTTTGTGCCCAGACTAGGAAACTTAGCAAGAGCCTGTCTTAAAATAAAAAAAGGTTATGAATGTAGCTTAGTGCAAAGAATCTGGATTTAATCACTGGTTCCACACCAAAAAAAAAAAAAAAAAAAAAAAAAGAGAGAGAGAGAAAAGAAAACTGCCACCCCATATTTGGCTCCGAGATTACAATCAAAGCGTAGCTCTCCAAAGGAGGATACCCAAGAGACATACAAGCAGAACTAAACAGGGTAGGATTCAGAGAGTATAGAGCTCCAGATTCTGCTTAGCTGTCAAAAGTTCACAAAACCTGTAAGATGGTGAGGTGCTTTAGTACTCTGAAGAAATCCTGGAGTATCCACACTTTCACAGATCAAGAATTCAATGCAGGGCATGGTAATGCATGCCTGAGGCCTGTAATCCCAGCACTGGAACACAGGCCAGCCCGGGCCACACAGCGAGCTGCAGGTCAGCTTGACCTACACAGTGAGATCATGATCTCAAAAACACAAGGGTTGCTATAACCAGTCCTTGTGCTTAATGTTAAAGAGCAATGCTTTCTTCTCTAGCTACCAGAGGCATCTAGACCATAAGCAAATTGGCTACCATTGTCTATAACCTGAAGGGTACACTACTGGATTACATTGCTTTTTGATGTGTGAATGTCAGTATGTGAATTTCAGAAAAAATTCAGAAAAATTGCTATCATTTCATCTTCCCAGAGGAAGCCTGCAGGCTGCGCACCAGCTGAGCATCTGAAGCATGCTGCTGAAGCAGCGGCAGGCTTTCCAGCCCAGCACCAGCCCACTCTCCCACCTCCCACTGCTCTACCTGCCTAGAAGCTCCTTTTCCCAACCCTGGACCTCTGACCTCTCTCCTCACTGGTAAACAGAGAGAAGGGTAATCTGCATTACTGCCAATGAGCTATCTGTGGTAGAATAAAGAAGCAAGCACACAGCTGACCTACAGGAAGCAAAGCAATACAAAACAAGAACTTCTTTAAGAACTAATTACAGAAAAAAACACAGAAGTTCAGGAAAAGGAGGACTAGGAGTGGATAAATACCACATTAAATCAAACCGAATACTGACTGTATAAAATATTACCAATATGTTGTGGCATCTAAAGTTACAGAATTTAGCTAATTTCCACCAAGCACCTAAAAAATGTAAACACCAGCACAGTAGGAGGCAGAATACAAGATGTAGCCCATGGACCACAATTTGCAGACTCCTGACCTAAGGGGACTGACAGTTCTTATTAATAGCTGTTTTCTCATCAGATACAAAGGACACAGGAAGGCAGAGTAATGATATACTAAAAGACCTGAAAACAAGAATGCACACCAATACGTTTTACATACCAAATTTTAAGTCAAGAAGCTCTGCCAGTGATTACTCTATACTCTAGCAGCTCTATTTATAATGCTGAATAGGAAAGTTTGAAATCAGTATTAGTCTTTTTTAAATTACCTGCTTGTTTATTGATATAAAAGTATGCTATAGACCACAACACACATAACAGGACACAAGTAAACACCAAGAAAAGCTCACGGCATGTGTCTGATCCATGCTTAGTGCAGGGTAACAGTCAGCTTCCAAGAGAAAATAAAGGTTTAAAAACAGCATACATACAAATATGTAGCGAATGTGACTTTTCTAATTCTAATAATTACCAGAAACCCAAACAGGGAAATTAAGGATTGGGTATTCTGTCTATAAAACCACTTAGAAAACTACCAGTCATTAGGTGAGCCTAGAAGAACATCTTGTGGTTCCAGAAACCAAGAGTCTCCACTGGATCAGATGTGTAGGTGAGTGGTAGAGGACTTCTCTAGTGTGTATGAGGCTCTAGGTTTGATCCACACAACTTACGTGTACAACGTTTTCATGTGACTGTACTGTAGTTAAAATATTTACTTTACCTCCTGTTAATGTAAGAGCAAATTATATGTACAGTGACAAAAATACTTAGCACACAGTCCTACCACATCCCAGCCATTCTAACTCCTGGAAAGAAACAATGATTAAATGGAGACAGGAGGGCTGGCCAACAGAGCGAAGAAAGAAACTGACATGGTAGATACGCTCTGAATCAAAGAACTGGCACATTCTCTTGAGTCAGTTAGCTAGCAAGGCCCAGAGAACTGAATACGGCAGAAAACTGTTTAAAGAGCATTCTTTGTACTTCCATATAATCACATGAGAAGGATGAGGGGGTGGATAAAAACGATTTCTTACATTTTTAGCAGAACTCCAAGGTCAGCTTGCAAACAATTATCTGTGAATTACAAGAAATTTAATTCTTTACTTATAGCAAATTAGTTCCACTGGATGATTTACAGTTAAATTGAAGCAAAATTGCCTAAAAGAACACATGTTTTGGCTGAAGCACTGAATGCAAGGCAGACACATGGGGGAGATCATTTTTATGTACAAATTACCATTGCTGCTGCTGCTGCTGCTACAAGGCCACTGAAGGAGGCCAGCTTTCTACACTTACTCCAGGGCATCTGGTTGAGGATCTTTCGGACAGTGTTAAAGTAAAACTGTAAGTAAGCTACACCAGACCTGTACAACAAAGGCAATGACTCTGAAAAGGAACGCGACAATGGATGAAGGAGCTAACTGCTCTACACTGCTCCAAATACAGTGGTGCCCTGGTTCCTGAACACTTGTGTTTGCCAGCAATTGAGTTTGTAAACCAAAAGGTTTGGCAAGATTTTGTTTCTGTGTGTAAACTGTGTATCTAATGACGGATATAGCCACAGGCCACCTTTCCTGCATGAACACGAATGTGGCCACCTCTTGCAGAATTGTGATTAAATTAGCAAACTGAGGTACCATTATGATGGTGAACACTGCCATCATGCAAGATTACACTGGACAAAATATTAACATGTATGTGTTGTTTTAGACTTACCAATTATAACCAACACTGATTTTTCTTTTCTTTTGTCCCTTAGTAGAAACAAGAGAACACACTAGTCACTGACTACCATAAAGGAAACAAAAAGGAGTCCACGATTTATCATCTTAATACTTATACCATGGTAGGTGATGGTTTCAAGATGCCAAGGACTAGAAATTGGACAAAAACAAACTCCAACACACACACAAAAGAAGATAATGAACTCCAGTTGTAAAGAGACACTAATTTTGTCTCTTCTTTATCAAGGAACCCAGCATTATCTCCGTCTGTTTACCAGAAAGGATAGGAAATAGGGGCATATGCCAGAGAGAAAAAAGCATCTTGCAGAGGGAGATGAGCCAAAATCTTAGATGAAAACAAATTAGGATTAGCACACTATATGAAGGGTAGAGGAAAGCATAAGGCACCTGGCTTACCTCCCCAACACCAAGGAGCTGGAAAAAGAGTGAACACATCCAGAAACTCAGTCACACGTCATGGATGGCAATACAGAATGAGGTGTGACCTTGTATTCCTTATCCCTGAATGTCTATTTTAACCAGATTTCTACAACAAGCATAAGGGCTCATAAGTCACAAGAGGCAGTAGTTTAGCATCAACTCAGAAGGCCACAGGATGCATGCCACAGTCTGTCAGAACACAGAAACCCTAAAAACTGCTTTGACCAGTCAGAAGAATGTGCATGGGTCTCTGAGGTGTATTACAGTTAACTGAAATAAAAAGGGATCTGATAATCTGGTGAAAGACACTCAGTACTGCCCAAAGATTTTAACTGGAAGATTTTGGAATTTCTAGCAGGGCATCATTTCAGTGTGAATTCTATTAAAGGATGATCATAGAATTACTTCTATAGTGGAAAATCTGCTGAACCAATAGAACTGATTGTACCTAAAAATACTATTTCGAAACTCTTCACTTTTTAAACCAAAGAAACGGGAGGAGGAATCAAGTGACTAGGATCACAAATGTTAAAAACAAAACAAAAACTCAGGTCTTTACAATGAATGACCTGGCTCACTTCATACCCACTAAGATGGCTGTTATCATTAAATAACATAAGCCAGGCATGGCTGCATGCACCTATATTCTTACCACTCTCGGAGGCTGAGGCAGGAGGAGCCAAAGTTTGCCCCCTACTCCTGCAATGTAGTGAGATTGCCCCTGTCTCAAAATAAAAATTTTTTTAAAAAATGTAGTGTACTGCAAAGGCCCTGGGCTTAATACCCAGTACTGAGGACAGGAGAGGGGGGAGGGGGGAGGAAGAAGACAAAACAAAACCCCAGAGGAGAAACTGGAGTCCTTATAAATTCTTGGTAGGAATGTAAAATTATACATAGCCTCTATGGAAAAGAGTTTGGCAGCTCCTCAAAAAAAAAATTTTAAGTAGAATTACTCTATGATGCAGCAATTCACTTCTGGGTATATATCAAAAGCAACTAAAAGCATAGACTCAAACAGATCTTTATATACCCATATTCTCAGCAAATTTATTCCTGAAAGCAAAAAAAGGTCGCAAAACCAAGTATTCAACTGATTAAAAAAAGTATATATAAGGTATACATATTACATATTATACACACACATATTTTGAGAGTGAGAGTGAAAGTGAAATAGCAAAGTATTATTCACCTTAAAAAACAAGGAAATCCTACCTGGGCACAGTGGCTCACATCTATAATCCCAGCACTGAGGGAGGCTGAGGAAGGAAGATGCCAAGCTTGAGTCCCACCTAGAAAACTTAGCAAGACCCTGTCTCAATAAAAAGAAGCTGAGAATATAGGTCAGTGGTAGCATGTTCCTGGATTTGAATCACAGTACCACATATACACATACACACAAAGCAAAAAAAAGAAACTCTGATACATGCAACAACATGGATGAACCTTGGAGACATTATATGATGAGAAATAGGGCAGTCACAAGAGAGACAAATCCTGCATGATGAGGTAAAGTGATCAAATTCACAGAGACAGCAGAATGGTTGTTGCCAAGGGCTGAGAGCAGGGGGAAAGGAAGCGCTATTGATTAACATGAACAGATATGTGAACAGAATGCTTTATCTTTTGTAGGCAGGAATGTAGTGAAGTCTGTAATTCATTATTAATGTGTTTAATGCCACTGAACTACACTTCACATGGTTAAGGCAGGAAGTTTACATTAGGTGTACTTAAATACAATTTTTAAAAATGAAAAAAAGCAGCCCAGTGTGTCTGTATTCACACTGAAGTTGTTTCTTGGAGAACCACTGAGTTGGGACGTGTGTGTGACCTGTGATGTATGAATCTGTTCAATACGTATTTATTCAGCACTGGCTGGGTCCAAGCCAGAAACAGGCACTAAAGATGCAGTGACAAAAGGTACAATCTCTTGAACTTAAAATGGAGAGCTCCTTATACTCAACTAGTCACTGAATAAAGAACTTTGAAGGAAAAGGTAGTGCAATGCGAAGGAATACAACAGAATGAGACAGGAAATGTTTCTACATCTACTGTCCAAACTGTTGTAATTTTAGTTAATCAATTTTGTATTTTAAATGTGCCAGAAGCCTTAAAAGCCTGAAAAGGTTTATTATAAAGTCTTGCATAAGGTTAATTGGCTAATATCCACCCTGTTGACTTCTGTATTTTCTGAACCTAAATGGGGAACAAAGATTATTCATATCAAAAGTGATCATCTGGGAAGAGTTAACCGCCAATGGTTTTTAAAGAACAATTTAAAATAACTGAAACTTAAGGCAAACATAAAATGTGTTTGTGAAAATTAAATGTTAAATAATTACCAGGCATCTAAAATTTGCCTCCAATCTTTTTTGAGGTGAAGGGGATCTCACTTCCTCCTAAATGCTGCATACATCAAACACCCAACTTCTTGATAAGAAATTCAATAGTGGGTCTAGGAAACAGCCATATATAAGCTACTCAAAACAGAAATGTGATGGGGGCTGGGGATTTAGCTCAGCGGCACAAGCGCCTGTCTTGCAAGCAAGCAGGCAGTCATGAGTTTGATCCCTGGTACCGATAAAAACGAAAAAGACAAAAAAAAAAAAAAAAAAAAAACAAAACCCAGAAATGTGCACATTTTTACAATTATTACTTCCATTGTTATAAGATACTAGTATCTTACGTACTACATCCTTAAGTCAAACGTCACTAACAACCACATAAAATACAAACTTCAATAATGCCTGATTATCATCTCCTGTCATATATTTAAAAGACCTTCCTAAATATATGCTGTTCCTCTGTATAACAGCACCACTGCAACTCTGGTCAGTGAGAGTGCAGTGCTGCTCTGGAGTGGACAATGAAGCATTTTCTAGCAGCTGGTTCACAATACCATAGAAACAACCCCAAGAACAAGCTGTCTTACTATTAACAGCTGCTCTAAACACATCCCTACAGACCTGGGAAATGTGCTTAAGAATGTCTCTCTTGCTCTGGTAAACAAGGACCCAGTTCACTGATACTTACAGCCAACATTGGAGTTGTTAGCAGGCCCCATGCAAAGAATTCAAGGAAGATGACGATAGCAGCATGATAAACACTTGGTCGGCCAAAGCCTTGTAGCTAAAAAAGAAAGAAACCTATTAGGAGAAGTAGTAAACATACATAAGAAATTCACTTTCTTGAAATAGTATAAAATATACAAAATAAAATTTTGGACTATCCATATTATTCAAGACAAAACATCATTCTGGGGCTAGGGATGTATCTTTGGCAGAACACATGCTTAGCAAGTGTAAAGTCCTAGTTCAATTACTAGCACTAAAAAAGCACCTAAAATCTGCCCTTCAATCTTCTTTGGGGGGGGAGGCTCTCTTTCTCCTAAGCTTTTTATGTGATATCCCTGATTCCCTTACTTTCCCTAATCAGAGAGGCTATTTGTCCCCTTATTGCAAATTACTGGAGCTCTGGAAAGAGCAAATTAAGGAGCTCTACTGGGTCTTGCAGACTTTGCTTAGCCATGCATGGTCGCACAGGCCTTAATCCCAGCATGCAAGAGGCTCAGGCCAGAGAGCTTAAGAATTCAAGGACACCCAGGGCTACAGAGCAAATTCAAAGCCATCCTGGACCAGAGGGCAAGGGCCTCTCTCAAAAACCATCCCTACGCCCCCAAAAAGATTTCAATTCAAGGACATGTCTGTCTCGTGCTATTTATGTGTTCCTCAGCAACTTAGCCTTACCAAGTCTAAATTTCTTTAGCTATACACAAGAGACTGGTATAGGCTTCTATGTTCATAATGCTCAGGGACAGGACGGGTAATTAAATGGCTGGGAACAATAAAAACTAGGTATAATATAAAACCCGCTAACTTACTTCACATCTAAAGGTGTTAGAATTCAGCTTTTTGTTTCTATTTTAAAGACTATGCCTAATCTGCTAATCTTCTACAGTTTGTGACTTACTGGGATAAAACCTAAAATTCCTTTCAATATAATGTTCTTTGTCTCTGTGATAATACTTATCGCAAAATCAAGTACTGTTAATATTTGGCAGTAACGAGGCGATACTTAACACAGGCTTTGTAAAACCCATGCTATTCCTGCGGTTGTATTTAAGTCTTTAAAAGTTAAAAGTAAACTTCGCAAGATTTAACTAGAATTAATCATGAGGAAATAGACACATCCAGATTATAGAAAAGCCTGTAAAACAAATGGCTGGTCTCCTTAAAATGGTAACATTAAACCTGGCTTGGTGCTGCATGCCCATAACCCACCCCCATATACATGCACACATTCTGGGAAGCTGAAGCAAGATAACAGCAATTTTGAGTCTAACCTAGGCAATTTAGTAAGATCTTGTCTCAAAAACATAGAAAAGTAGGTAGGTTTGGGATGCAGTTCAGTGCAAAGGCCTTGGTAATGCCTCAGTTCCACAATTAAAAAAAGTTACAATCATAGAAAAATAAAGGCAAGCAGATGGTCCAGATTAAAGGAGACTGGAGGTATAATAACTAAACTGGGACTTCTGAACAGAGCAGCACTGGATCCAGGACGAAACAGGAACAACAGGAAACATGAGTAAGCACTATATATTAGATAAATCATATTGCACAACATTGCACATCTAGGATATTCTTACAACTCAACATCAAGTGATCTGGAAAAATGGTGCACATATCCACTCTAAATTAAAGGTCACCAATTATTAACTGCTATTTTTAGATGAAGGGAATATATGTTCATTTTTTATTTTGTAATTTTTTTAAAAAAAGAGCCAAGTAGAATTGTTACTAAATTCAAACTTGCAAATGCTCAAAGTCTAATGAGCACCATGTCTGTTTGTTTAACACAGGATCTCTGTAGCTCAGATTGGCCTCAGCCTTCTGAGTGCTTAGATACAGGCTAATCAGCAAATTTTAAAAGTCATTAAATTAAGAGACATTTGCAAAACAAAACACATTTCACAAAGTTTAAAGAACAAAAGGACCATTTAAGTACCTAACAATTCAAAGAAATACAAAAAACATATTAGCACAATCTCTATAAATACCAGTTTTCACTGGTCCTTTACCAAAGGACCCCCACTTCTGCCTCTGACAAGGCTTTAGAGACCCTCTGGGTCCTCCTTCCAGCTCAAATCAGAAGCTCCGTTATGATGCCTGACTCCTTTCTGTCTGACTCCCCTTGGTCCAAATCTCCACTTTCTCTTGCCCAGGTTACAGAGCAGCCTTCGAAAAAGGACCCCTGCTTCCACCCTTGCTCCTTAACCCACTGCCCCACAGCCAGAGGGACAGGGCTCAATGCACACCAGACTCTGCTACTCCTCTGATCTTGCTCTCTGACTTCCATGTATCTCACTACATTTTACATGCCCAAGAGTAGGTGAATATGTCAAGAATCTCAAAGACTCTTAAAATAGCTTACAGCAGAAGTGTAACAGAGCTAGCCTGTCTAGTTTTCCTTTGCAGTCTCCAGAATGAAACTGCCTGCAGTGAGTAGAGAATCATGAGGAACCTAGAGCAAAACCAGGGCAGATGCCGGGCGTGGTGGCTCACGCCTATAAAATCCCAGCACTTGGGAAGCTGAGGTGGGAGGATCATTGCGAGTTTGAGATTAGCCGGGGCTACAAAGTGAGCTCAAGGCCAGCCTGAACTGCATAGCGAGACCCCGTATCAAAAAAAAAAAAAAAAAGACAGACAAAAAAACAGAACCAGGGAAGAAGCCCTAACTGCCATTGGGAGCTGGGTTAAGACAGTAAGGCTCAGCTTAGTTACACAGTAATTAGTTACTCACTCCTACAAACCCCTTTGCCCTCAGCATAAAGATTAAAATCTTTTAAACCTTTCCATGAGGTCTCCTTTGCAAGTTCTCTAATCTCATCTTTGCCCCTACATAAGTCAAAATATCTGAAAGACTACATTCTTCAGAAAACCATTATTTTCTATTTTAAAGTGTAGACATGTTATAGACATTTGCAGTCAGAAAAGCTAGCAACTATTCCAAGATCACATTTTGAAGCTTAGATTAGAAAAAAAAAATACAAGCAGATCATAATATCAGAGGATTTGGGAGATGATGGGAGGGGGGCATTATTAGACTAAGTAGGAAGATCACGCTATGATACGGATGAATTAGGAGCATTGTGTTAAGTGAAATAAACCGTTCACTTACATGAGGTACTGAAAGAAGTCAAACTCACACAGCTCAAAAGTAAAGGAGTGGTGGCCAAGGGATGAGGGAGAGAAAGTAACTGTGTAGTGTGCGGAGGAAATGAGCAGCTGCCTAATGAGGAGCTGTTTCTGTTTTGTGAGGTGAAAATCTCCTGGAAATTGGTTGCATGACAATGTGAAATATTTAGCATTACTGAAATGTGCACTTAAAAAGGGTTCACAGTAAATTTCGTGTTGTGTGTATTTTACCAGTTTTATATACAGACATACATGTGTGTGCACACCCACACACACACACACACACACACACACAATACAGTCATGTAAGTGACCCCAAAAGAGCATTCTTCCTTATAGTTGTCATCACCCTCAAAAGCAGCCCACCACTGAGGGGAAGGAAATCTGTGCGAAGAGAGCATGAGACATCCATATAGATTAAAACATAAACCCCAAACAAAAAGAGCCAAGAGCAGCTGGAGGACTACACTGGTCTTGCAGCTGCCTGTCACAGGGTACTCCAGGACACACACTGCAGGCTCCTCGCACAGGGATGGCATTTGATTAAAACCAAATGATGGTTTTCCTAGTATCCTGGAGGTTACCTAGTAGGTGAATAAAGAGGCATGGATCAGAGCTCCTTGCAAAAATGGCTAATTCTGGGACTGGGACAGGAAATACATAAGAGAAGCTTGCAGTATCAGAATATACAAGTTGTGATCAAACTACACAGTAAAGGTTGAAGTTTATTTATTCTTAATTTTTAAATTTATTATAGTAAAAGACACATTATGAGAGAGAATGCAGTACTCTCCCACTATTCCTACCCCGCTCCTGGTCCAGACAGACAGGACATATCATTTCTGAGAAATAAAAATATAAAATCTAACTTAAGATAGCAGAATGTAATTCAACCTTGACCAGATGACATGATTTCAGAAAAACAGAAACTTAACCTACCCAGGTCACCCTCACCCATCTGCATCTCCAGAGGCCGGCTCCTGGAGTCTGACCCAGGTTTTCCATTTTAATGACTTCCATTTTAAATTTTCTTGTAATTGGTTATTTTATTACGCTAGGGGACTTCTCCAACTTAACAACAGACATGTGTCCTTCTCAAACTATTTTCCCTTGCTTCAAACATACTTCCCATCATTCTTGTCATTTTGTTTTTCGGTTTTTTGAGACAGGGTCTTGCCAGTAGTTTGGGCTGGTCTTGAACTCACTATGTAGCCAGGTTGGCTTCGAACTCAAAGTGATCTTCCTGTCTCAGCCTCCTATGTGCTGGTATTACAGGCATGTGCCACCTTGCTCAGCTTCTCTTGCCACTTTCTGAAGCAGCTTTGGAAGTCTTTTTTGAGTGTCTTTACAAGACACAATCAAAAATACTGAATGCTGCGGGTGAATGTCATGCAACAGAAAGGCACGTTCAGCAAATGATGTGTATTCATCCACTGAACTTGGTACTGCAACTCCCGGTCCTCCCCAAAGTCATTCTTTTAAATACTATGTGTGGCTGCTTTTGGGCTACAATGACAGTTGAGTAGCTGCAACGAAGACAACATGGTGGAAAAAACTAAAATATTTACTATCAAATCCGTCACAGAAACCAAAGTTTGAATATGAATAAGTGAAACACAAAGGACAGTTCATAAATATCAGTAACTCACTATGATCATTTATTCTTTTTGGGGGGAGGGAGTACCACGAACCCCGCACCTGCTTGGCAGCCACTATACCGCTGAGCTACATCCCTGGCCCTATGATAATTTATTATCTAAGAAGCAGCTAACATTCCCTGACTTTCCTTAACAAAGACAGGTGCTTCTCTGCCATTCTTCTATAGCTTCTCTTGTATTACGAAGGCAGGATCTAATAGTATTTCTGTAATGCACTCTGGACTCAGCATAATAAGGGCTTCCTACACTAACCAAAAAACACTTGCTAACACATTGT